CATGCAAACATGAACACTCTCCATCCCCCTCTTCCCTTTATTTTTCTCCATATTTCTGATCACCACCTAGTGTATTTTATCTCTACGTGGGTGGGTATGTGTGTGCATTTATAAATAAGCACGTTTATGCTTTTATTGTCAAATAGCCCCACTAGAATGTAAACTCCTTGAGAAAAGAGACTTTGTATCTTTTTATAAACTACTATAACCCCCGCACCCAGAACATGATGGTCATTCCACAAATTTTTACTGAATAAACAAAAGTACTTTTGAGCCAGGTGGCAAAACCTGTTTTAACACACAAATAATGCTTTTCAAAAAACCTTCCCCTAATACTGGTTTCCAAATCAGAGATCCTAAAAATTCCAAATAATATTCTCCTAATTTATCCATTTTAAAATTTATTAACTTAAAAGTATGGCATACTTAATTCAGATAGTGCATATTTAATCCAGAAGTAAGTGTGCGCACACATAAAGGAAATGTCTTTGTTGATGTTTTATTTACATTCATATAAAAAGGGATGGAAGCAATAAGATGCAATCCAGAGACAGAATCTAGAACAGAAAATACTCCCCATATAAAATATTTCGTGCTTGAATTAAAAATTGGTAATCAAATTTCCAGCCTCCCGATGAAAGCTTATTTTTTAAAGCAGTAACTAAAACACTGTGCTGCATCTGACAAATCCCTTGCCAAGTACCAGAACCTATTTCTCCTTAATTTATTCTCTCTCACTATTTGGAGAGTTTGAGTAAGAACTAAGAAATTCCAATGCTACAGTTAATGCTCAATGCATCTCTCCTTTTCACCCGACTGCATACAACTTCTATAGATTATATTTTTACAACTTTTATTGTTGTTTAGACCAGTTGCATACCAGTAATTATAGAGCCATATGTCTTCCTAAAAAAACGCAAGAAATTTCGAATAAAACAATGTGATGCTGTCTTTCACGAGCATGTCAGAATTCAATCCATAAAAGCAACACGAGCAGGAAGCATGGGGAAAAATATATATTTAGTTTAATTGTGGTAGACCTCATTCTCCAATTCAATTCCACTTAAATGAAAGGGACACTATATACTCTATATTCTAAGAGTTTTATTAACACTCCCATGAGAATGCACAGGTAACCACGCACACATACAAATCTAAATGTGAAGAGGAAGTTAAAGATAACTCCATTGGTATCTAGAATTACAGAACCCATCGTTGAACTGCATTTTCAATCGCTAAAATTATAGTCATATCTATTTAATAACTGCCAGTGAAACAAGGCATGAGCAGATTGACAGATCCATTTAGGAACACATATGACCAAAATGTTCCTAAATTACTCAGTAGTAAATGTCTCTTCTGTCCATCTCCTCAACCATTTCCACTTCTTCTTATAACAAACCTGACTTGACTTTAGGTATTTAACTTTAGTGACAGGATACCATTGATGAGCATAGCCAGATCATAATTATAGCAAACAGCTATGAGGGACAAGGAATTTTTACATATTTCCCTGGAACTTCTCCAGCTTTCAAATCACTGTCCAAAGGTCAAATTATTTTTACTTCTTTTTTTTAAATTGAATCAAATATATTTTTTAGGTTATCCTTACATGTTCCTCCCCCAACACAGATTCGTATCAGTTCAAGAAATGCTGTCTGTGCTTTCCCCTAGTTCCCTAAGCCACTGACATGACTTAAGGTGAGAACAGAGGGAGATAAAGAAATTTCTACACAATAATATTAACAAAATTTGAAATAATAAAGTGCTCTATAAATGTAAAATTTAAGGAATTATTTTTATCACTATATGCAAATAACTGCTCAATCTCAGTGTGTAATCAAGACAAATATAACTCTTTTTCTTAAGCAACATCCCTTTGGCTCCTGCTGCCTATTTCTGACTCACTTTCTCCCTCAAGTCATGATCTGACATCCATTTTAATGTAATTTCACCCGTGTAAACATGATGTACAAAGGGCACAGACAGTACAAAGGTGTGTTCTTACTGACATCACTACCCAGAAAGAGCTGCGATATGTTGATCTGAATACATATTGAGATGAATTTGACACAGAAATTATCAACATTAAATCAAGAATAATATTGGAAGCGGGCAGACTTCAACATGCTTGCAATGGGAAAGTGGGTCCAGAGCAATATTAAAATATCTTTGAAATTTCCCCTAGTTTTCTCTGCAATAATAAACAGCTATCTAAAGAATTAGCAGGACATCTGCTCTATAAGTGCCACGTTCAATGAAACACCTATTTAACACACAGATTCTCTAATGTCCTGGAGAGGTGGAAAACTGTAGTCATCGCCAGTGAGCTTAGTCGAGGAAATCTGGGATCATCTGATACTGAATATTCTCATTTGAAAATGAAACTGTCCAACTATTAAAACAAAACCTGTGGTCATCCATTCCTGGACTCTAAACCTTAGCAAAAATGAGGAGTCCTTCCTCACCACACACCACTCCATTCAATTCAAAAGAATAGAGGATGTTCTTTGATTGAGCTTAGCCTCTCTTCCTCCGAAGTCTATGCTCTACCATACTTGCATCCACATGACCAGGGTCCCTCAAGTTTTCCCATATCTGACTAAATGCTGCTCTTCTGTCTAAATAATAATGATTATAATAAAAACAATAACAATAACTTAAAAATTTGTTTATCTCTTAATATGCATCAAGTATGTTCCATGTATTTTCTTATTGAATCTTCACAACAATCCCATGAGACAGCAGCTAATATTTAAGTTGCATTTTAAAGAGAAGAAAAACAATGTTTAAAGAAATTAAGTCACCTGCACAAGTCACACAACTAGTAAGTGGCAGAGCCGAGGCCCAGACCCAGGTCTGTGCAGCTCTAGAGCCCACTCCCTCAACTACAAATCTTTACAGCGTCTGTAGAAAGAGCAGAAGGGCTCCAAGAATCACTTGGTCTAAGTGTTTCATTGAACACATCAGAGACTGAAGACCCAAAAGACTATGACATGGCCTCTTTTCACTCCTAAGTCTATATGAATATATCACAGCACTGAACACTTCTACACCCCAATCCTCCTTTGGCTTCCATGACTAACTTCCCTGGTTCTCCATGTAACTATCTTTCTGACTCTCTAGCTGACTTCTTCGCCTGTCCACATCCCAAATATCAGCGTTCTCTAGGATTCCAGCCTCAGCCTCCACTCTGGTTAGTCTATTCCAAGGCTTTGCAGCCTTTTTAAAGCAATGCCCAAATGGATAAACACATCCCCCGATCACAGCTGCTCCCTGTCTAGGACACCCAATCCTTCAACTTTGCCCCGGACACTTGTGATTTATATCCAGCACAAGCTTTGTCTAAGTTAAAGACTCAAAAACTCTAATTTCCTGCTTGATGTCCCATAGACCCTCTGTACTCCCAGTATTCAAAATTTAACTCAGTCCTTTGTACCAAATATGTCCATCTCCCACAATCCTTAGTACCATCTCTCTTCACTCAAGTCAGAAACATCAGATTACCCTTGACTTGATAGATTCTCTCAAAGTCCACACCCAGTTCACCCCTAAACCAGCCAATCTGACCTAAAATGTCTTTCAGGCGGTCCTCTCCATGCTGATGGACACTCTCCAGGCTAAGTTTCTCATGTTCTCTCACATGAATGACTACAATAGCCTTCTCCTAGTTGGTTTTCCTGACTCAGACTCTCTCCACCTCTGATCTAAGCTCCTCTTGCCCATCAGAGCTATACTTTTAAAAGAGATCTGTCCATTTCACCCCACACTCCTTCCTAACTATCTCAGCATGAAAGCCAGCCCATGGGAATGACACTAAGGACCCTTCAAAAGCTGACCAAACTACTCTCTCTTGTTTAGTTTCCACCTTTTCTTCCATCCTGCCCCTCGTCCCTCTGGAATAACCGCTATTCCCTTGAGTCTTATGTTTACTCCTCTGTTTGGAATCAATTCCTCAAACCATTGTGCCTTTTGCATTGCCCCCCATCTTTTATACAAACCCTATCAACACCATCAACATCTTCTTCCTAACCTACTAAAAGCCACATTTTTAGTTGAGGGAATTTTTCCAGGCTCTGCATTTCACTCTTCCCCATAAGCCAGGTCTGCCTGGTGAGAGCGGTAAGACTAGTACCCAGGTCTCAGAGTGACGTTTCCCAAGGTTAAACAGCTAGTTACATGGTTATTAACTTTCTAAATGTTCCCTATATCTTTCTTTAAATTATAAAAAGAAATATTTATTAAATAGTAGTTACCTAAGTGTATATATTAATATTATCACACAAATGTCCATTAAAACACTTAAAACATGTAATAAATCATCCAGACAATGCCTTCTCTCACAGTAATCTCTTATTTATGGATTCAACTTACTGTATTCATCCATTAATTCATGAGGTGAATCAGAGCATTCAGATCATCCTAAATATTTTTATGGTTTTGCATTATTTGTGCACTTCTCCCAGTGATCCAAACTACTTCAATCTTGGCCCAATGCCAAGTAATATTAACATGAGAGAAGTATTATAATCACATAAAATATTAGAGAAAGTGGCCAATTTTATTATCTATGTCAGTAAATGAAAGGTGATAGGAAAACGTCCTAAACTTTTGTGCAGTTTGAGAACTCTGACTTTGAAACTGAATTTGAGACTATCCATTGCAGAAAGAGAATTAAACAAAACTAATGAACATTTAATGAAGTTTTAAGTAGTTTAGTTTAATGTGTTCACTTCTCCCACTCAGTTTATTTTATTCAACGCTTCTTACTACGTTTTAATTATATGACAATTTTCAGCAATTCTTTTGACAGGTAATAAAAACATAACACGAGAAAAGACTTCCAAGGAGGCCAACAAACAGATCACATCAGTGGACAGATGAATGCTAGTGGCCCACTTTCTACTATGCTAACGGCCTGAACAGACATATCCTTAATTTAAAAAATTATATCAAGGCAAGAAAAGGCAAGGCTGTAGGCCCTGGGCTGCGGTACCAACCTCCGCTGCTCTTCACCATGTTCTCCTGAGGGGACAGTGAGGCATTCGTCCATGTGTCCGTGCAGCAACCTGAGGACGTCACCACCAATCAGATACCCTGTAAGGATTGAAACGCAGTCACATTTGAACTGCCATGGTCAGATGTTGATAGCCAGACAGAGCATCTGGTCCAATCTTCTATTTTCATAGACAGAGAAACAGAAGAGGAGCGAGGCTTAAGTACCTGACTAAAATCACAGAGATGCATGGTGCCACCCGCCTGCCACCTCTGAGCCCTGGGTTCCCAAGTCCCACAGTTAGTGACATTCCCATTGGAAAACACAACCTCAACCCATAAAATTCTCCATTAAACACGCAAGCAGGGACAGGCTCACATTTGAACTATATAAGTGACATTAATCAGAACAAATGCAGATATTTCGCAGGAAATCTTGATGCATAAACACTATTGTGATCCAGCTCTAAGTCACTCACCCTGGAAGACAAGAAATCTCCACATTAGCCTAACTAAGCAATACCCTGAGGCCAAAACATCAGAGGAAATAACCCTAGAAAGCTAGCACATAAAACACACACAAACAAACTAAAGCTGACAATTGCATAAGAATAAGGAAAGATAAATCTTAACACAAACTTCACTTTTACATAGCAATTTAAACTAGAACATTTTGACACAAAAAGCTCTAATTAACAATCAGCTCATTATCACAATCTCAAAGAAGACTGTCAGCTCTGCATCAAGGACCGGCCTTTTAATTGAGGTGGAGTCTTTACCTTGGGCTGCTTCACTTCCGGAGCTGATGGGGGCCACGCTCCAGAGAGTCTGCTGGAAGGCAGCATCCACGTGTAAGCTGCCGTTGCCGTAGGACAAGTGCTGCATTAGAGGCAAAAGGAAGCATCACTTCAGACTCTTGGTAAATCTTAATACATAAGCGCTTTGGCAACTCAAACTTAACAGTGCAGATTTCGAAATGTCCACAGAAAACATCTATTTCAAACCTGTCACTCAAAAATTGAGACTAGCAGGAAAAAAATTAGAGTTTCTATTTGACTTGAGGTATTTTTCAGCTTCATTCTAAGAGTTACAAACTTAACGTACTGATCAGAAAACGCACACAGGAATATACTAAAATAAATTTATTTGTTAAAATAGACTATTTTGTTTTAAGGCTTATCGATGGACAAAATTGTACAGATGGTGGGCACTTACCGATAAAATTATAATTAAGTTTTCTACATATCACACAGTGACAGTTTTTGACAATGAAGTAGGTGAAATCTACTGGACTTAATGTCTTAAAGTTTTATGTCGTCCTCTAGGAACTTTTATCTGCAATTTGACATAATAGCCATTAGATGGCGATATTTCCTATTAGGTATCACAAGCTAGGACAATAAATTTCCTCCAAAATTCAGCTATTACAAATTTTGTTTTTCCTTCTTAAAAATAGAAATGTATTAAAATAATATCATATTTCATATCTTTGAGAGCCATAATATATGAGTTCTCAAATGATAAGAAAAATAAAATTATGAGTAGAGCTAAATGCCTTGGTTATTTTACTAATCACTATTTGGCTGCCTCTAGAATTTCAAACACACATAGAACAACCACCTGTCTTCTTGGAGTCATCTCAATAAACATCACCAATGTTCCTGTAATGTTTCTGCAGCATTTTTTCCAATGCTGATGACAGCCCAAGCTTTTAAAGACTTTAATTGTACTAGATCTTTCCCAGAAGTCTGACCCACCTAGTTAGATGAAGAACAATCACAGCATGAAGTAGTCACATTGGTGTACTCCACAGGCCTTTCAACACCCTAAAAGTCTCTTTTACCTAAATATACGATTCTCAAGTCACTGGCAAAAATAGGTATTTCACTATCTGTCTCTTAAAAACAAAACCAAAGAAATTTTTGACATTTGACATAAATGTAGTTAACTTATCAATTTTTACAACCGATAGGATTAAAGTTTACCAGTTGCTGCCTCAGATTTAGCAATGACTTGCTCATACCCTTCTCCTCACCTCACCCAGCTGTCTGCCTCTTTACAACCCTGTCTTCATCTCAGGCTGTCAGTCTTGCGCAAAATCCCAGCTGAGATTCCTTTATTGATTAATTTCTTCCCCACTATGTTAAAATTCTTTAACTGTTTACAAATCAATCATACACCATCTGCTTCCACAAATGAGAGAAATATATTTACTTCCTAACAATCATCACACAATGTAATTGTTTAGTGTATTTTTCCTTCTCTCTCTTGCAAGCTATCTGACACAGGTTCACAACTGTGTCCTTGGCATCTAGCAGCGTTTTCAATAAATATGTGCAGAAGCCAAGCAAACCTTTAAAATCAAAGTAGCATAAACCTAAAAAAAATTTTGTTAGACATAAATATTCTTACTTCAATGACCTGAGCCAAAAGAATAGCATATACACACAAAAAACTCTATAAACCATACGGATTTTACAACACCATGAGAAGACGATTCAAAATACCAATGCTTATATTCTTACTTTCGAATTCAAGTGAAAGCTCATGCTAGATTATGATAAATAGATTATCACTATTTGTTAATTCATCATGGTTCATTAAATATACTATGTATAAAGCAATTGTGCTAAATATTAATAGAGTATAAATTCCCCACTCCTTGTAATCTAGAAGGGAAAGTAAAATATATACACAAAATGCTACAGATCACTATTTAAAAAATGTAGGTGAATCATAATCAAAGTGCTACAGGAATTGAGAAAAGAGAACACGTTAGCCAGTCTAACTGGAACAGAGTCCATGGTACTGGGCCTTGATGACAAGGGGCATTTCCACAGGAGAGACGGGATTTCACGTGGGAGGAGAGGTTTGGAGGAGCCAGTAGGATCATTTGGCCTGGGTCTCACATTTATATATTAGAGATGCTGTTTGCAAATACTTTTGGGTATGCATATTAACATTAATGTGCTAAATGTAAATATTTAAAACATACCAAAATTTTTGGAAGTTCGGAGATTTTCATTTTTAATACACCAGAAACTTCGTAATTGGAAGTGGGTGGGCCACCCTGGCCCTCTAAGAGGCTCTGATAAGGAAAATGGTACGTCAAAGAGAAGAGTGTACCCAAAGGGACAGAGACACAGGAACATAAAGACAGCAGAGAGGTCCATCTTTGGGGCTTAGAGCATATACTTAGAGAGAGAGTGAGAGAGAGGCCTGCAGACAAGGCAGGCGCCAGATCAAGGACCTTATACTTCAGACAATAAGGAGCAACTGCAGTGAAAACATAACAGGGGGAAAAGGAGGGTTAAAATGCAATTTTCAAATCATATCTAAGCTTAACGATAGATAATAAATATGAAAAACAGTCTGTTGGAGAAAGTCCCGAAAATGTCCTCAAGATCATATTACACCATATCAAGTTATGCCCACTCTTCTAAAGAAAATATTGTCTAGGCATAACTATTTTGGATGCTTCTATTTAATTTTGCTGCTTAAACAGCAAAGGGAAATCTGAGTAGGAACAACTTCAAGTCAGGCCTGTGGTATTAAATATTCAGAATGCAGTAACAGTTTCAATTACTCAAACTAAGTTGAGTTGTCCTTAAAGGAAAAACAGAAGTTGTCAGAGGTTGAAAGCAAAGTTGGCCTTAGGCTGAAATCTGTAACCACTCTAGCATTTTCACAGTTATGTGGTAATATCAACCCACCAGCAGCAGTGCAGGGGCACTGGGCATCTGTCTGCTCCCTCATATCCCCTTGATCCTTAAATTAGTGACTCTCAAGTTCTATCACACACACGAATCATCTGAGGATCTTGTCCTAAAAAGCGGATTTGAATTCAGGAGGTGGGGTGGGACAATCAAGGCCGCTGGTCCAAGAACTGTGTTTTGAGTGACCGGACATTATAGGACAGACACACAAAATCTCAGACAGAGAGAGGATATTATAAATCACTCCACTCTGAAACTCTTAGTTTCCCTTGAAATCCTATGTATATATTTTATTCATTTTAAAACATTATGATGGCAAGAGGTCAATAAGCTTTATTCGACTGCCAAAAGGGTCCATGGTTTAAAAATTTTTAAGAATATCTGAATGCAACCCTTGTCTGATGCATTTATTCACTCATTTGTTTCTCTCGTATTAAGTGTCAGGCCCTGGTGATGTAAACTCTGGATAAATTATCATCCAGTGACAGGGAACACAGGTAAACAAGACATGGCAACCCTCAGGCTTCTTTTTTTTTTTCTTCTGAGAAAAAAAGACAGGCATAGAATAGATGCTATTTCCAAATATAAGATTCTGTGATTCCATCAACTGAGCCACAGAGAGAAACAAAGGCTCAAGGTAAATAAATCAAAAATACATTGGTTGAGGGCCGGCCCCGTGGCTTAGCGGTTAAGTGCGGGCGCTCCGCTGCTGGCAGCCCGGGTTCAGATCCTGGGCGCGCACCGACGCACCGCTTCTCCGGCCATGCTGAGGCCACGTCCCACATACAGCAACTAGAAGGATGTGCAGCTATGACAGACAACTATCTACTGGGGCTTTGGGGGAAAAATAAATAAATAAAATCTTTAAAAAAAAAATACATTGGTTGAGACAATAAATAGCTTGAAAATACTTATGATTGCTATCTTTCTAGTTATCAACGTTTTATGCAACTTGAGGCAATTCAGCAACTTATTATGCAATCAAAACACCTTGTATTTCTTATCAGAAATTCAGAGGTGGGTAGGAGAGAGGTCAATTTTTATGAACCCTGGCATAGCTTTCTTTTAAGCATTTTTCCATCACTCTTCAGATTATGGGGTTCTGCTTTTTCTAAATTACTTTCAGCATTTTGTTTGGCAGTTTTCATGGATCTTAAAAAAATCTGTCCATTTCTATAGGTGACCTAATTAAGAGAAAATAGTCAAAAATCAATGTTTCCAATGCAAGAAATCCAATCCATAGATTGAAAGCGTCTGTGCATAACGAGGATTTTACATCTTTTTAACAAAAAATTGTTTTGTATGCTTGACTTTAGTTTGTTTAGTTTGAAATACATTCATAGTAATACCTATTTGGCCATGTTTTCTCTATTTTAACTTGTATATTTCTCTTATGTTTGCCTTCTTTAAAAAAAAATAAATAAGTAGTTCCAATAGGGGCAAAGGAATTTTTTTCCTCTTAAATATCCCTGAAAAAAGGATTAAGATATCAGTTCATATTGGAATATCAAACAGCAAGATGAGAAAAGACATTATGGATGAGTGGTTTACAACCGTTTCCGGAGAGAAGCCCCTTTATTCCTATGAAATCCTGTGCAAAGGAGGGCAGAGCGAACCTAGGTGGAGCTTGGGCTCCCAGTGCCCAAAACAGCGCTCTCTTCTGACCATGCAGCACCTCCACAGAGAATGGGGGAAAATCAGTCCTTTAAATCAGTTTTAATCAATCTTCATCCCAGTAGCTGTAAGCTTTGTTACAGTAGTGAATGCACAATTAGATAGTTTAACCTTAGCTTAACCATCACTGTTAGTGAAGGAAAAATAGATCAGAGGTCAGTAGACACTAATGACTGAAAAGATACAAAATCAATGACTGGAAATGTTTATTTTTAGTAGTTAGTTTTAACTAATGTGTTTTCAGCCAAATTTCTTAACTTATTTATTTTTAACCACATCAATGTCTTTTCAGAATATGAACCTTGCTTTCACATGATGGATCTTTACTTAAATCAATTATATTCCCTTCACTCCTCCCCAACTTTCTCTTCTTCTGGTTAAATATCTGCAGTTTCCTTAACCATTCTTAATAGGCACAAATCTCCCAAGAAAATAACGATAGCAACTTACTAAGCTATTTTTATATGTGCCATTCATACAGTTAAGAGCCTTGTTTGGATTAAAGCATTTAATCCTCTTAACATCCTTGTGAGCTAGGTTCTTTATTATCCCATACTGCAGATGGAGAAACTAAGAGGTTTAGGAGGTTACATGATTGGCCCTGGCTCATACTTACCAGGCTCTATACTAATAAACAAATATATATACAGCCCGTTTTTATTGATTCAGGGTTCAGTGTGTGGATTATTCCAGCTGCCGCTGTCTATTCCAAAGTCCTTTTATTACCTCACTTCTTGCCATTTCACTTTCTCTAGATCCTTCTCACTAAGCACCATATAGATCCTTGAATCCATCAACATAATACTCTCTATACTCACTACTAATCAAGCACAGGGCAAATGTGAGAAAATTAACCATCCCCGCACCCACAGGAACTTCCTTCAGCATCTCTAACCTAAACTATAACACTTATTTACTGTCTTATAATACTCTCAAACAGTTCCATATGTGTTTGGTTTGTTTTTTCCATCAATTCTTTGAGGGTAGAAACAATGTGTAACGTGTCTTTGGTCTTTCTTGTTTCTACTATATGCTAGGTCCAAAGAGATGAACACTGAAAGCACTGAGTTCATTACTAAATGAAAGTGAAATTTCAACAATCTAGTTGGCCAGTGTTTGTAGTTCTCTATAAAAGTTTACAAGAAAAGGAACATAAATAAATTAGCTAAAATGAAACTTCAAAAGTATTTGTGGGGGCTGGTCCGGTGGCGCAAGCGGTTAGGTGCAATGTGGAGGCCCAGGGTTCGCTAGTTTGGATCCTGGGCGCGCACCGACGCACCACTTGTCGAGCCACTCTGTGGCGGCATCCCATATAAAGTAGAGGAAGATGAGCATGGATGTTAGCCCAGGACCAATCTTCCTCAGCAAAAAGAGGAGGATTGGCAGATGTTAGCTCAGGGCCGATCTTCCTCACAAAAAAAAAAGTATTTGTGAATTTCATTAATCACGAGGTTTATTTATTTCCAAAGGCATTAGAAGGTGAACTCATGCATTATGATTATTGCTATTATTTGTATGGTACTTTTTAATTCAAAGCATATTCAAATTTGTTATTTCATTGCTTCATCACAGTAACCTTGGTGCTTAGTATAATTATCACCATTTTGCAAGTGAGGAGGCCAGAATTCAGGGAATTAAGTGACTCCTCTCAGACATTTAGTGGCAGAATTGATGCCACAAGTGCTGTCCTCTGTGAGATTCTGATTTTCTGCTCCTTCAGTGCATAATGATACCATCCTGTCAAATAAACTCTGCGATGTAGTGGAAAGTACAAGTTGTACAGCAAAAACATGCATAGTTATGCCAAAATCAAAAACACGCATAGTTATGCCAAAATCAAAACAAGATATGTGTAGAATTTATATATTGAAAAGCATGCATGAATTATTTTTACTGCTGCTATTGGTTTCCAAGTAAAACTACAACTCAAAATGTTTATCTCCTGATCAAAATACAGCTCTTTAACACACACAGCATATGCCCACACCAAGAGCTTAATAAATGCTTATAAGCTGACACAGTTGTATTGCCCTAGAAATGTGCATGGTGCCTGTTTCTACCTACTTTGGTTAAGAGACAAAAAAGGAGAGAAATGCTCCAGGCCTCCCTACAGTTATGCAACATGAGATGCTCCATTTAATTTAACAGTTCCTGTCAGTTACACGAGGCACTGTTTCACCACCTCACTGTCTCCATCATTACCTCTTTCCACAAAGCAAGTAAAACAAAACCGTTCTTCCTAGAAATGTTTCAAAATTGGAACTAAGCATGTTGGTAAGCAAAAACTGACTAGCAATATCTCCAAACCCACCCTCTTTCCATGTTCATAGAGCAAAGGGGTACCAACTACTAACTTAATCCCAAATCAATTACACACAGATAATATTTTGATGTATGGCAGTGGGAATACACTTTCTATAAACCAGTGTGTGCTTAACTGCAACAATGCTCTATTTCTGATTTTTGTTTCAATCATCATCCTCTATGATGTCTGGGATTTTTTTATGGGAATATTCATGTAAAGTTTATAATACCCCATTGTATATTTGTTTAATTACTTTTCCAACCTTAAAATAAAAAGAATATTTTGCACTGGCATCCTTCACTTCTATTGATTTCAATCTTCTGTGAACTTCTATATATGATTATTCTTTAGCAAAAATACAATTTACTAAATAAGTGAAATTAAATATATATTGGCCTTATCATAAAAATAAGAAATACCTTCAATGATTACAGACAAACTTTCTTTATTCTTTCATTTCCAGCCCCTACCCTTCAAAACAATGCGATGTCAATGAGAGACTTAAACTGTTTTTTATTTTGTCTACTTCTCTCCTTTCTTAACATGGTAAGTGTTTCTCATAGAATAATTTGCTTTCATAAATATCAAAATAGGTAATCACAACCTCATTAATATAGCCTTTTCATTGGGCGCAAAATAAAATCCATGGAATTTTGAATTCCTGATTACACCGCATTTACATGCTGATAATAAAGTGCCAAGAAAAGGCACTGTCAGTATCATGAACGTACACATCAAGGGCACAAGGGACGCCTGTCTAAATGAACCTGGTAAGCCACACTTCCACACACGTCACATGATTCCCCCACTGAGGGAGTTATTTATAACTCATCAAGTAGAGATACAGGCTTGTTTCTAAGCAATTTTCCTAGATAATTTGCAATCTACACTTTAAAGAGCGAGTTTTATAGACCTGTCATTTATTCTATCATCATGTACATGATGCTCCTTTCTGAACTTACCAAGTACCTTTCAGAGGACACGCTAACTAAGATGAGGTCATCTCCAACTCGTACTTTTTCTCCTTCTGATCGCTGCTTGGAGGCAGGATGTATGGTCCACCAACATGCCTCACCTGCAAGAGGATTGAAAAGGGAAACATGAAGATGTGTCTCTTAGTTTGAAATGGATTTCCTTTGCCAGTGACTCCAAAATAAAAGAGAGAAATGAAATAAGTCTTCGAAATCAGTCTCCTTAAAATGAAACTGTCCTATTCATACCACTTTCAGAAATTTTAAATTTAAGGGAAATTAATCTCTTAGACCATGAAAATCAAAAGAATTTGGCCAAATTAGCTTAGAAGAAGATATACTGAAATACAAAGATTCTTCTCATAGGAACTGGTTGTGACAATATGGGAAGTTTGGTGTCTTTTTCTCCCACTAAGAATTGCTTAAAAAGGATAGTTATTTATGCTAACATAAGGCCACATTCACCAGTCATGCTGATCTGACCACATTCTCTACACTATCACATGTTATTACACTGCTCTCTGTACTAACATCTAGTTTTTTGCCACTTGATTTGCAAAAGGATTTGGGGTTTTGTGATGTGACAGTTGTGTTATAACAATTTAAAAAACTCTGTACTCTTTTGGGATGCTGATTCAAAATAGATGCAAGTGTCACTTAAACTTTACTATCCTGTGCCTTGTTTTGTTATTTTAAGATGCAGTCGTTTCCATTAATCTAAGGGTAAAATATAAGAGAATCCTGTTATAGGAGGATACATTATAAAAATATCTGGGTATATATTAAATCAAATAATTTCTTCTAGAACAAGTCAAGCATAAGCCTCATGAACCACATAGCCATTCGTCATTCTTCAGTCCCATTACCTAAGATATAAACTTAAGGATACAATTCTTCAATCTGCTCACAGTTCCTTTTAAAACCTAAATGTAAGTTCTATCCAAAAATGAGAATAGTTTTAGTGATATCTGTTATCTGATAACTATCATTCTCCTCTTTGCCCAGCTTTATTCTTTTCCTATAACTTTTATTTTTTTCTTTTTTACTAATTCCCCAATGCCAGAATGTAAGTTCCATAACAGCAAGGACTTGTATGTTTTGTTCACTGGGGGTTCCCCACCTCTTCCTAGAATTTTGTAGGCACTCGATAAAAATTCATTTTGGATGAAGAGTAAATGAATAAGCAAAAAATATTTCTTAAGCATGCCTACAGCCAATATGTAATCTGTGCCCTAAGCTGCTCTTCTTACACAAACCACAGTTTTCCTTGAATGCCACCTTGCAAAATTCCTTATCTTCATTCACTCAATTCACGTTTTTAGAGTTGCAGCAAGTTTTTCATTCATCCACTCAAACATTTATAAAGCATCCACTATGTGTCCATCATTGCTTTAGTACGTGGGGGTACATCAATAAACAAGGAAGAAATCATTATCTGCCCTGTGAATTTAACTCTGATCAAGGCAGGCACGTGACAAATGATAAATATAATCAGTCAGTCAGTAATTCAGAAGAAGCAGAGAGCTCCGGGAAACGCAGAGCAGCACACGGGGCTCAGGCTGTGGGAGGAGGATGGCCTTGCTTGGTTGTTGTGGCTATTGTAGAATCATCTCAGTGTATGAAAACAAGTTACATATCGTGCATGTCTTTTACTTCTTTTGAGAGACAACTGAAGACTTTCTTTTTCATGTCATTGTATGCTGAAGTAAGTTAATTACAATGAGAAAAGTAAAACAACTAGCAAAAACACAGAGGAATGACCGCGCCTACGCAATGAAATAAAAATCAGAATAATACATTTATCCTTTTGGTGCCTGGGATTCCTGGAACTTCTTGTACAAGGTGATATGTTGGTCTATTAAAAATTAATTAGGTTGGTAAATACAGCTTTATTTTCATCCGTTTATTGTCTGTGAATTTAGAATATGGAAAAATATTTTTAAAAGGAGGGGAGGGGCCAGCCCGGTGGCACAAATGGTTAAGCGCGCGTACCATGCTTTGGTGGCCCTGTGTTCGCAGGTTCGGATTCCGGGCGTGCACTGCTTGCCATGCCATGCTGTGGCGGCATCCCATATAAAGTAGAGGAAGATGGGCACAGATGTTAGCTCAGGGCCAATCTTCCTCGGCAAAAAAAAACGGGGGGGGGGAAGATCGGCGTCGGATGTTAGCTCAGGGCTGATCTTCCTCACCAAAAAATATAAAAAAAAAAGTAGGGGAGGTGTAAGGGGATTGCTTTATCCCACCCCTGAAAGGAACAACTTAATAAGAGTTGGTCTATTTCCTTTCATTCTTTTTCTACTTAGTCTTTTATTTATTTTAATCTCAAAAGTCATGCACACTCACTGTAAAAGATAAAATAGTCAAATTGTACAGAGATGTTTAAAGTGTAAAGTCCTCAGAGTACTGAGAACAATACCGCAAAGAAAGCCTGTGTTCTCCTATTCTGATTCTCCGAACAGATCAATGTGTTAATATGTATATATTTTGTTTTAAAAATACATAGATACATGTTTATTTGGATATATATGTAGCACGATGCCCTGTGGACAGAGAAATGAAGCATACTTTCATTTTCTATCTTTTTGTCTGAATGTTGACACTGAGTATATTACATTTTTAGACTTAACAATATTTTTAAGATGAAAGATAAAAGATAAAAAAAAGATATGCAGTAATACTTCAGAAACTAGTCAGGGTACATTAACATGGTTAACGGCCAGTAAAGCATGCAGTAAGTATTGTTTTTCTATCCAAATCCATCAGAAGAATAAGGTCTGAAGTCTAGTTTGAACATCCAGCTAATTATGTGGGAATGACTGACCAATGGAAACAATGTACACTTCCTCCTTCTACTAAAAACTTTCCTTAGGCAGTCATCTGTTTTTTCCTGACTCCCTCTGTAAGAACATTCATCTAAAGATCTTGGATCGTGTCTCATGGCTTCTTCCAATCTAAGCCCTGCCATGCTTTCTCTGAACACAGTTTTGTCCCGGACCAAGGTGCTCACCTGTTGTGTCCTCTTGTAAGCCAGCATCAAAAGCCAATTTATCAGTAGAAGACCGGGACGTGGACAGGCAGCACAGATACTAAAAGACACAGAATCAGTAGTTGTCACTAAATATTTACAGTCCTATCGGAATCTAATTCTCACATGTAACTTGGTATCAGTCTATCTCTGCTGTTGAGTCCCTTCTTTCAAATCTGGATGCTTCTGTGCAAAGCCCAGGTTTCTCATTCTGAGGGAGAACAGCACTCACACAGCATTCATTAGCAGTGATGTTCTAAAAGAAACGCAGTGTTTTTTCCCCTTATAAAAAACTAGAGAAATGTGTTCCATCTGTAAAGGAAGACAAGGAACCAGGGATGTGTTTATACATCTCTCACTTCATGTGATATTCATGATCACAAGGAAACGTACAACCTGATCTGACAGTTGGAAATCTTTCTCCCAAACAGAAATTTGAAAACTATTCACTTAGATCTTCTAGTTTTGTTTTCATTTAAAAAAATTTAACTCTTTCAAATTCACCCAGAACTGATTTTGGTGTGCAGCACGGCACCTCAGTGAAGTGAGGTCTTATCATGTGTATACATATGTGTGTGTTTCCCCAAGAGCAATCAAACTCGCGCACCACCATCACCCCCTTACTTCTTTTCCCTCCGCCTAAGTTTTCCTAACTATATGTTCTTGGACATAAAGTTTAGGATAATTTTTCAGGCCAACTCCCCTACCCCCACCCCAGCCTCGAAAATCTTGTTAAGTGTTATAAGAATGAGGACACAAAGATGAATGTGGTATCAGCTCAGCATACACTACCATCTACGCCAACTAAGTCCACTGCTAGCAAGAGCACTCAGAGACAGTTCTGGGGACTGAGCAAGCCCAGACCTCCCAGAATCACCGGACAAGTAATGCAAAGCCTAGAAAATTCCTACTACTGGAATAGCATCCATACAGCTCAGTGGGCGTCTGCAAGTGTGAGGAGGCAAGAGATGAACCAACAGACTCATGGCACATTAGGTGGAAGTCGGTGCCATGGGGATGTAAAATCAAACTGACCTGGGGACTCTGATTCTCTCTCTGGACTGTAAAGCACTGGCTCCCCCAGGGTTATAGAAAAGATGCTTCAAGGGCCCCCAAATATACTCTTAGCCAGTGCAGGAGTGTGAGTCTGACCTCAAGATGGGCAGCCCATGGTGGTCCCTTAGGTTTATAGACTTTAGATCTAAACTATGTTAAATATCTCTCTTTATTTGAGAAAAAGTAACAATTTTACAATACTGACTTCCCAGGCAAAAACATAAGGTAATCCCTATTAAAGTTTTCTGTAATATTTCTCAATAATATTACAGTACTCGGTACTGTAACTATTAACATACATTCTCTCTTCCTTTAGTGTTCACAGCATCTATGAGGTAGATTATACCTATAATGAGGTATAATTATTCCACTAAACGTTAATTAAGTTCCATGAGGGCAAGGACTTGGTCTCATTTACTACTATATCCAGCACCTAGAACAGTGCCTAGCAGACAATAGGTGCTAAATAATGTTTATTGAATGAATCGATGAAATGTTTAGATGCAATTACAGGCTTAAAGAGGTTCAGCAAGGTATCCAAGGCTGTACAGCGTGCGGGAAAGTGAGCCTAAACCCAGATCTATCAACCAAGTCCAGGCTCTTAACACATCTATTATGCATAGAGAGTTTTCTTAAAACAGACTCTCACATTTATTATTCCATGCAGATTTTGTGTTTTGATTGCTACTGAATGTGGAATTCTTTCCATGAACTTTTAATGTGTGATTACTATATACATTCAGGTTGTTTTTATATATCTCTCTTGTATCCAGTCACCTTATTAAAGTGTTTTCCTTTATGTTATTTCATATCTTGCTATATCAGCCAAGATTTCCAGAATAATGTCAGACAGCACAGTCTTGTTTTTGTTTGTTTGTTTGTTTGTTTGAGTTAGTTTTGTCAAGAATGGCTTCATGTCTGACAATTAAGTATGCTATTGATCTGACACTGATATTTTCTTTATCATTGAGGCAATAATCATCAATGCTTAGTTTTGATTAGGAATGGGTGTTGAGTTTTATCAAAACCTTTTTCAGCACCTGTTAAGATGATCACAGTATTTCTTATTTAACCTATTTATGTGATGTACCGCAACTAAGAGAAATTATATTGTCATCATTAAAATCTTATCTATACTTTTCCTATACTTCTCTTCCTATAATTTTGAAGTCCATTAACCAGACTTTTGATTCAGATTTTCACATCAATATTCATGATGGAGACTGACAATTGTTCGTGTGTTTTTTGGGTATTGGTATTGAGGCTATGCTTAGTCTCTTGCTCTGGAACAATTATATTTTACATATTTTATACATATAAGATATAAAAATATATACAAGTATATATAAAATATATATGGTAGAGAATGAGAAAACTGTGCCTGAGAGGAGCCCAATGGGTAATAGGGATAATTGGGTAAAAGGAGGAGCTGATATGGAAAAAGAAAGAGAGCATCTAGTTAAAAAGGACAAGAAGTTAGTGGCAAATTGACAGTAGAACTCACAGACAGATTATTTTTACATTTTCTTTCAGTAAAGATATTTTAATTCTCTAAGAAATAAACTGTTTAAAACAAAATCACAAAGGAGAAATGTTTACTTGACTCTTACAACTCTCTCCTAAAACCAGTCTATGAAAAGTAAAATACTACATATGATAGAACTGAAGGACCTTAAAGGTCATCTAAGCTAATTCTCGTCTTATAAATGAGAAAACTAAACAGGGTACAAAGATGTTAAAGAACACATTCATCCAAGCTCATTAATGCCATCGCTGAAATGCTATTACCAACATTTCCTGACCCTGAATGCCCAAAGGGACCAGCATGACCATATGGGAGATGAAATCAAAATGTCTACTCACCATGCCACTGTAGGAATGGCGTAGCAATATGGCATGTCCATAGAGGAGTGTTCGATGACTACCACCCTGAGCAGTCTGCATAGCGAAGAGAAAGAGTCGACAAGAAAATAAAAAAAGAGTAAACTTAACAAAGTCAGTAAAAATGCTCTCTTGTGCTCAAGGAAAAGTTCAACAGGAAAGATAAAGTAAGAGCTATTACAGACAAGCAAAGTGCGGTGGAAAGAATGCTTAAGTTGGAATAAAGCTATCAAGAAAACCTCTACTATGGGGCTAGCAGTTGATCTAGTTCTTGAAGAATGAACTCGATTCCCAGAAATACTTATCATAATTTGTAATTATTTTTTGTAGTTATTTATTATCTGTATTTCCCACTACATTGTGGTCTGCATTGGGCAGCAACTATGGTACTTTGGCCACCATTGTATTCCAGGCACCCAGCAAAATGCCTGGCACATGGGAAGGACTAATAAATATTTATTAGATGAATGACTCTTCCTAAAACACAAAATTGATCAAATCATCTCCAGGTTTAAAAACTTTTCATACCTTCCAAGTGTTTACAGGAAAGAGTCTAAATCCCTTTACATGAAATAGAGGGATGCTTCTCAAATTTTAGCATGCTTACAAGTCACCGTGATAGCTTGTTAAAATACAGATTCCTGGGGCCTATCCCTGAGATCCTGATTCAGTAGGTTTGGGGTACATACAGAGAAGTTTCATTTCAAAAATTTCCCATGTGATGTAGGGGCAGTTGTTCTGGGGACCACACTTGGAGTAGTTTAAGCATAGAGGACATTTAGTCTCAACCCTTTCTCACCTCCTCCCCCAAACCTGTTATGCTCCAAACACACACACTTTCCCTGCCCTGAATATACCATGCTGCTTTCTGCTGGTCTGTCTTAGAACGTCATGTTCTCTCCCTCTGTAGTCCTTTCTGCCTTATAAACTGTGTTTTAAAACTCAGGTTAAAGCTTGCCTCCTCTATGAAGCCTCATCTGGTTTCCTCAAAGTTAGCGTCTCCCTCAGTACACCTATAGCCCTAGGTCTACACGGGTACACTCATCACTCTCCACTGCAAGCACCTTCTCTCCTGGACCAGACTGTGAACTCCACAAGGACAGGGACTTAGCTCTTAGCACAATGTCAGGACATAGTAAGCACTCAATAAACATTTGTTGAATGAAAAACTGGATGTGGGGGAGCCCGATGCAGGCTGAGTAAGGAATATGAGTAAGTCATGCATGGTATACAACTGCAAAGTATTTAAGAAAGGGGAAGGGACCACAGGAGTGTAGCGTTGGGTTGCAAAGAGAAACTTAACAGGAACTATAAAATTAGATCAGGGTAAGATGACGGAAGGTACAAAATGTTATGCCAAGGAGTTTGCACTTCTTTTCTGTAGGAAAAGAACATCCTTAAGGATTTGAAGAATGAGAGTGAAGATACTGACCTATACACACTTTAAGAAGTGCAGAAGAAAATACTTTAATACCCAGTACTATTACACCTATTTTACTAAATATATATTCCCTTCCTATTGTTCCATATAATTTATTAAAATAACTTTATTTAAATTATGCTTGAAAGACCTCAGAACCATTCTTACAATAGATATTAAAAGTTATTAAAATTATAAGAAAAACTGCTTTTAAAACAAAAGGGAAAATCATTTTTTCACATACTGAGAGAAAAAGGGAAAAATCTACTTTGCAAAATGATATTCCTCCTCAGAATGAGGCCCTCTTTAGAGAGTGCTTTTATTTTCTGTAATATATGTGATTGATTGCACCAAGAACAATTTCATTTACCCTGTCTGACTGGATGACTTTGATAGGAGCTTGCCTTTTCATACCAGATATCCATTCCAATGCTATAAAATCCAGCTGAACTTTAATAAAACTTGACAGTCATACCAATCAAAATAAGATATTTTTTTTAATGAAGGAAAAGGCCTTAGCTGTAACCAAAAAGTATTAAGTTCTCCTTTTACTATAAAGCTTTGCCTATGCATTTTATATGTCCATATGAACATATATCTATAAATATTCAAATTGATTAAGCTAAGAGGAGATATTTCAGTGTCTAAATTTTCTTTCAACTATAGATTTTACACAATTATTCAACTATAAATTTAACACTATAGATTTCTTTATTACTTAAATGCTAATTTATGCCACAGATTTAGTTACAATAGAACTCTTGTAAAAGTATGCAAATAACCCATACGAACTTAATTTTGTTACTTACGAGAGCATGGTTAACACAAAGTGAATGCAAAGTTGGTCTGTGACAGTACCTTTCCTCCAGTTTGTCATTCTAAATGACACTACTCTAAGTGGCTCTGATTTAGGAAAAATAAAATGTGTAATTTCTACTCTTGAGCAGGTTGGATAACGTGTTCATTCAACAAAGATTTATCAAAAGAATTGTGTACGTGGGATGCAACCAAAGAGGTACCTTTGTTCTTTTCTGTTTTTGATTTGGTCAATCATGTCAATTTTCTTATTAAATTTGGCCTGGTTCTTGCTTTAATTTAAGTGAACACATAATTATGGCCTTCCTCTGTAGGGAGCTACTGGTACTTTATGAGGATGGTTATTCCAAATACTGGCTAGCCACTTCTAGGGTTATTCCTTCAAGATTCTACAACATCCTGCCGTAGGTGGACTATGGGACTCCTCCAGAGCAATTTCAATGAGAAAAAGATCATCACTGCTGGGTGATATGTAAGAAGCAGTGGTAATTCAGTACTCTGGAACAAGGGTCCATCTTCCCTCTAGCCACCCAAACCTAAACCTATAAGCACACAGTGATACAACCATTGTAAACTGTGGGAATCCAGCCAGGACCAACTAGATAAGAGTCAATCAAGCTCACGGGGTCTCAAGCTCAAGGCTGGCTTGCCTTTCAAGATCACACTTAGGAAGAAATAATTGTAGAGTTTTTTGAAGTTAACATGTTAACTGTTGCTTAGAATCTAAAACCCTGGCAAGGTAAGCAGTGCTCTCAATTGCACCAATAAAAAGGAGAATTAGGAAATTAAATTTTACGTAACAAATAAACCTCCAGTTCACATTAATGCCATCTATACATTAGTCTGGCTAATTCTCAAGTAAATACTCCACAAAAGAAACACTCTTTCCTATTCATTTGAAAAATATTTATTGGGTGTCTACCATTTGAGAGGAACAGTACCTGATGCCAAGGGTGTTATGCATAATCAGCTCACAGTCTGTTTTCCTCTGCCTTGAGAGTGAGAGCGTTCTCTGAAAACTCTAATTATTCATTCATTCAACTGTTATATACTGAATCCCATGTAATTTCCTTCAATATACTTGTTATACTAACAGCAAAGAAAATGGAAGTTTATGAACTAATTCTTTGTGTATTTCTCAACTCCCCAACCATATGACGGATCATCAGGTCCTTTCAGTAAAAGTATTACCTGGAACTTGCACGTACATGTCCTTGAAGTACATTTCCAAGTGTGACTTAGGCCCTATCATCCCTGAAAATGCGACCGTCAGTCTACTGCACCCCAGCCCCCCCGTGATTGGCTGAGCCTGTGGTATAGTGAGCTGTCATCAGCCCTTCACGGACCCGCTGCAGGACTAGGATCTTGAAAAGAGCTTCAGCTACACTATCACAGTCTCCTGTAGACGACAGGGCTCTATGTTAAGGGGCTGTTGCTCTCTTAGGGGAAAAAAAAACAATGAAACTACCATTTTCAAACTACTCCCTCTAAATATTTCTGCTGTTGGAGAGCCATGCGTCATTTAATAAAAGGTAAAGTTTGACTTTTTGAAAATATCAGCTAAAAACATTTTTCAGCTCTGTGTGTGGGTTTGGTCCCATTAGCCCAGAGATAACCGACAGGGTTCATGTTACACAACAGTGTAACAAAATGAACTCATGATCTGTGAGTGGATAAAAAAGTCCAGAGGACAGTCAAACAACACCACTGTCTGTATTCTAAACCAACCTCACCTCACGTTTTCAACAAATTATTTTAATATCAATTTAGTATTATTAGGCATTCCTATACTTCAAGCTTTCAGGATCTTGCCAAAAATATCCAATTATTAGATCCATATTGTAAGCAGAAGCTTTGATGTAAAGGCATCTACATTTACATTTATTCAGAATATTATGTAGTCATAGGGCATAATTTATTCATCTGTTATCCTTCTCCGTGGGGAGGGGGACAAATTGGTTCACTGTAGCTACATTTGAGGTATTACTGTCATAAGCTTAAAATATACCAGCAGAAAAGCATAACACATAAAACCAGAATAGGAACGACTAAGATCAACTAAAGAGGTTTATACACATAAAAATTACTGGCTCTGTGTTTCTGGTGATATGGGGTTTCTTTTTGTCTCTGTTTTTTAAAGATATGTTTGTACTATATATTTGCTTATTAACATGTCTCTAGCATTATTGCTGTTTAAAACCTTTTAATTTACTAACTATATAATATCTAAATATTTTAGGGTTTTCTATTTTTCTAATAATTTTTTCTGAACAAAAATGCTATGTTAATCAACGTAGGACATTTCTCAGAGTTCCAAATCCTTATTACGCAAGAGGTTTTTTTTTTTTTTTTTAATAAATCAGACTCTATAGGAGACCTTTTCTATATCCCTTGACTGCTATAACCTAACATGCCATTTAAGAAGTAAAACAATGAAATTGTAATGAGTTTATTACTGCAGGTAATACTAAACTACACCACCAAAAGTAAAAACAACAGACGACAAAAAAGAAATTTGCATGAGATAACTTCTTTCATAGTGTCCAATATTTAAGTAGAGAAGCTTTTAAATTTACCTTCAAATATTAATAGTAATACTTGGGAAATGAGTAGTTTCAAGGAGAAAAATAGAAAAATATCTCTACACTTAAGCCTTCACATCATCTGAGAATGATTTAAAAAATGCAAATGTGAACAGCACAAGATCGACAGGAGTGGCACAGAACTGCTAAGCCTGGCGTTTTGGTACTAGGGTTTGGACCCGTGGGTCCTGGGCAGCGGGAGTTATTCAAACAGCCCTGCCACCCTTAATAGTGAATGAATCACATAAAGGTTCACAGGATGATTATAACAACTGATGAGAAATTTGGCTTCAGTGCAAAATATATGTGTTTGACAAAGCCAGTTGAACATTGTCAAGACGGCCACGTGGCATTGGGTGGCTTACTTGTGATGGTGTCTTGACCAAAAGTCTTCTGAGGGAACAGAGCAGGCCGATGACAGTACTAACTAATCACTGTTTAGGGCCAACAAGCAGAAATGGGCTTGTGTGACAGGGAAGAATCTGTCTGGTTCTAGGAAGTTAAACAATGCCTGTCCAGGTATGAAATCCAAAGCTAATCATGACTGAAATGTGAAAGTTGAATAAAATTCAACATCCTTTTCCTTCTAAGTGACTTAAATTACTATAATTTCACGGATATGCCCTCTGCTTAGTCAAATTCTAACCTTTCCAGGTCATCCAATGCAGGTATCAAAATAAGCCACTGGGTTTCTGGCCTTGCAGTTAAAAGAAATCAGAGCCTAATTAAATTAGTGTAGGTGTACCACCTGGTTTAAACAGTTTCTACAGCATCTTTCTATTTGCATTGATTTTTATGTGAATCTGCTCTCATGAAAGAGCTTAAGATAAATGTTGTAGGCAACTATTCCATTCACCCTTCTCAATGAGAAGTAGACATGGCATTGGATAAGGGATTGGGATGAGGTGAGATGATAAAATGAGTACAGAAAATGCAGATTTAGCAAGAAAAACTGACTTTTTCAAAACTAATTTTATTAATTATTTATTTTCCAGGAGAGGAAATATTCATTTTTTGCTGCCGTTTCTAACATTTTCCCAATGAAAACCCTTGTTTCAGGATATGTCTAACTTAGCAATTAATGTCCTCTCTTCCCAACGTAATAATAATATTTTCCACTAAAAAATAATAGCTGCAGTTATATGAAATTTTGGAAAATGTTTTGTCACCTTGTTGATAGATGACTTCAAGGAAGTGCTCTGCTCTGTCATTCTGTCCAAACTGTCAAATTCTTAATGTTAATGAATAGATCCGTTGTCGGTAACCCACAATGCTCCTGGTTCAGAGTTTTGTAAAATATGAATGATAGACTTAGCTAAGTAACTCAGGGACTGACATGAATACTTTGCTTCCTTCTCTTCTAAGCAACCTTTTTAATCTACATCCAGAAATTCGATTTAACACTTTTCAGAGTTTATGTGTTTTGAAATTATATTCCTTTGAAATTTTGAATTATATTAAGCCTCCATTAACTAAATACAATAAATTTCTCTACACAGAGTTTCTTGATTTTTATGATAAAAATTAAATTTTATGAATACGAGAAATGTGGTAGGTATATAAAAATGAAACAGGGGGCCGGCCTGGTGGCATAGCAGTTAAGTTCGCACGCTCTGCTTTGGCGGCCCGGGGTTCACAGGTTTGGATCCCAGGTGTGGACGCATGAACTGCTTGCCAAGCCATGGTGTGGCGGCGTCCCACACATAAAGTAGAGGAAGACGGGCACGGATGTTAGTCCAGGGCCAATCTTCCTCAGTAAAAAGAGGAGGATTGTCAACGGATATTACCTCAGGGCTAGTCTACCTCACAAAAAAAAAAAAAAGAAAGAAACAAAAACTTTCTACTGTATGACTCAAAATAATGACATTTTGCTCTTCCTCTACTTCCCCTACATATTTCCTTCAATGACATGACCATTTATTTTCACTCATCTCTTTTAGTTTGTCTTCTTTTAAAACTTTTCCATTTTTCTAATTTGGTTGAGAAATGAAAAGGGGTTGAATTGTTTTCACTTCTCCTGGAGTAAGCAATTCAATAGTAGCTTCTTGGTGCCTCTTCTAATTTCCCAGTGTGTGAATTACCTATTGTATTCATGCAAGAGTGCTTAAACACAAAATAGCCAATATAATCACCACAGTGGAAATTCTAAATGGAGAGTTATTAAAAAAATTGTTTTAATGGGAGAAATTCCTAAGCAGCTAAATAAAATTTAATATGTTACAATATGACCCAAAGATGTCAAACATTGTTTGTTAAGTTGTCAAATCTAAACACGTGATTTATTTACTTAAAAGTTCTAAAATTTGATTTAAATTTTAAAAAATTTAAAATGTGGGGCTGGCCCACTGGCATCATGGTTAAGTTCGTGTGCTCCGCTTCAGCAGCCCAGGTTTCGCAGGTTTGGATCCCAGGTGTGGACCTACACACTACTCATCAAACCATGCTGTGGTGGCATCCCATATACAAAATAGAGGAAGACTGGCACAGATGTTAGCTCAGGGCCAATCTTCCTCACCAAAAAAAAAAAAAAAAAAAAAAACAGTTAAAATGTGAAGAAAAGTGCCATGAATCCAAAAATTAAACAAATGTGTAATTGAACTTAAAACGTACATAGTATTACATACATAGCAGATGATCCAATGTCTTACCTTCATCATGAATTTCTGTAGGGGCATAAGGAAAAAAGAGAAAATATTAAATATATATTATTTCAAAGACTTATTTTAAAATTTCTTTTATTTATAAAGACTCTGTTTTTCTAAATGGAGTTATGTGAAAAATAAACATAAAAAAACACATTCACTGTGTTGTCACAACAAAACTAAATATCAACTACATGCTAGAGAAAAGCCATAGCAAGCAAAACTTTTCTAAAATGTTTATACATTAGTTCTTCCTTTTTCTGTGAAAACATGCCAGTCTAAAGCGTGATTCAACTTATAACACGTCTAAGCCCCCCAAAAAACAAAGGTATAATCTTAAAATTATACTCTGAAAATGCTTAAAAATTTTTTCATTTCATCTTTAGCATAAAAATGCAGTGATATAAACAGCAACACAACTAATTATAGTGAGAATAGTGGATTAGAAACAGGTAAGATAGATTGTAAACTAATATGCTGTGATGAGCTGCTCATATTTCATGCAAAATCACAATAAGCAATTTTCTAGACACTACATATGGTGAGATATGAATTTCAAAGAAAAAGCACAAAAATTTTTCTTTCTTGTCTCTTAAAATGACACAACTTCTTCTCATGATTTATAATAGCTTTTTTGCTTCTACAAAACATAACATGTACATATATTCCTTCATTTTTCTTTAGACCCATAAGGTTTCTTTGACTTCCTCTTCCTAGGAGAGGTACACAGATAAAAAAGAGCCAAAAAGGAAAAATGACACTACATTTCCAAATTTAGGGCTTAATTTAGCTGTCATGAGCATGTAAGTCCTACCTAGAAAAGATATACATATCCACATTAGTTTTAAAGAAAACGGCAAGGGAAAGTTTTCTAAAATAGATATTTGTAAATACCACAGTTGTTTCGCTGAAACATACATACATAGTAATATATATTACTAAATTGAAATTCTATTGTGACTGATTTGTTTCATTTTTAATATTATAATTTTAAGGAAAAGTTGTAAAGAGCCATTTCATTCTCGGCTTAGACAATAAAGGCTGTTCAGTTACATTTCTGTAACTGACAGCCATGGTAAATGACATCAGGAGATTTATTTTCCATGTTGAAACTGATCAATCATGTGCCTACATGTGATCACTAGAGATGTAGATATCACCAAATGAAGAATTAGGAAAAATCATTTCAAGCCTTAATTCAAAGAAAAACAAAAATTCAAATTTTTGCTACAGAACATGGTTTATAACAAATACTTTCTTCATGAGATTTTTTAAAAATTCATCCAGGTTTTGGAGATGTTTATTTCAGAAACATTCTCAGCCTGATTTTGTGGCTATCTAGGCTGAACTACTTTAAAATTGTAGTAAATAGAAAAAAGAATGGTCAGTAGAGTTTCTGAAGTCTGCTTTTCATAATTTCTAAGTTGCGCACCACTGCAGGAAGAATAAGTCACAAAGGAGAGTAATCTGTACAAATGACAAAATAGAATGAATACTGCAAATTAGCAAAGCCTAAAACATCCATCTGTAGAATGAGAATGAATAGCAGATGTAACAGACACACATTATTTTCAAAAGATAATCAAGAACATAAAAGATTATTTGTGGCATTATTGACATTAACTTTTTGTAGAAATCATCGATTGGTCAATTTGGCTTAAGTGCTAGATAGTACCAAAGTTATAACATGATGAGGTATTCAAAAGGGATGATGCAAGGTCAAAGAAGAAAGCAAAATACATTAAAACAAAAAGGATAAATATATTATTTTAATCTCAATGTAAACATTACTAAGGTAGGATAAAAAGCAACAGAAAAAGAATAACAATAAAAACCCTTTAAAAGTTGATGACATGATAGAAAGGAGAAAAAAGAAACTCATGCATAAAGATAAATATTGAAGAAAATAGCCTCAATTTAGGTGTAAAGAATATCACTTTTATGTTTGCAACAAGTTTAATAAAGGAATTATTTCATTTATTTCCTTCATAAAATTTCACTAGATAAGAGCTAAAATTTCATTAGACAAGACACAGAAACAGATGTCTACAAAGACAGTCAGAGCCAAGGCACCAGCATGGATTCTAACACTGTTTTCTGTCTTAGAAGAAATTTTTGGATGATGATCAATTTATACAGAAATGCAAAGGAGGGAATTTTAGTTCTTTAGGGTAAAACTACAAATGGCAGTAACTCAACACCCCATGTTTAGTTTAACTATTTTAGAATTGACAGGTCATATGAAGCTTCAAATGTGAGCAAGAGTTGTGAGCATACCCCCCTGTTATGCTGCATTAACATGAAAACCAGGAAGAGAAATAGCAAATCCTTATGTTTTAATTCAAACATAGACGGCCCTTGGAGTCTAATGGATGACAAACAGAGGCAGAATAGTCTTCGGTTTATAAGCATATGTCACTTGATCTATTTGATCTGAAAGACCTAAGGGATTTTCTCAGCATATGCAAATGATTATAAGTAGAAAAACAAATCAAATAGCAATACTTTATTCTGAAAATTCTAATCAAACACTGGACATCAAGAGAATGCGTAATTATATTCAATCTGCTACTGGCACAAAGAAACAGTAACGCAGGTGATGTAAAAAAGTTCCTCTACCAAAATTACGCCTTTCAGTTCAACCGTGAATTATTTTTTAACTATTATTTCAGTTTCATGAAATGACAAGTGATTAAAAAAATTAATACTTCTACACATGGATCTGTCTTAAAAGTGTTAAAAGTGTTACTAAAATATCTTCTTAAAAATTATACACATAAGGAGTTAGCAAAAAGCAACAAAATAAAAATTTGGGGGCTTGTGATTACAAAGAATTATCAAATAGGACAATCCGAGAGACTAAGGCAAAATTTTGGCTCAAGTGTCTTTCTAACACGAAGTTTCCACTAAGGAGGGGAAACGTCCTACTCTACACACAAAATATCCATCGAATTTAAGCCTCTTTTGTCACGTTTTCTCTTCATGTATCAAGATGCTAGGATTCTTCATAATCCTCCAACTGGTAACCTTTCCTTTGTGAATGAGGATATATCTGGTAAACTTCATTATGTTGAGAAAAGGACAAGTTATTTCACCACCAAAGGCTTGGGTTTGTTGGTGGCTATTTTAAATTAATGACACTCCCAACAAATTTTAGGAGACAAGAGAAATTTAAGATCAACAATTCCAACTTTCAAACATATATCAATATATACTATCTAATAGCATATGTGGATATATATTTGTGAAAATGATGAAAATATCTATGTAAATCCTTAACTTTCTGGGTTCCCCCAGTGAAAATAACCAAGACTGCACTACCGATTGACAGACATGTCGATTGTAGGCCCAGAAAGCATCTCAAAGGGACTTGGCTTCCAGCCCCAGAAACAGCAATTATACATAGAATGATATAGCCCATGGCAGTGCTCTTGTATGACTCATATTAATGACCATCACTGGCATCTGGTTATATGTGCATGCTGGTATTTTTCAAAAGAATTTACTATGATTTTTGGGAAGATGTGTAGCAATGGTTGTGTTTTCAACCTATCAACAACTCTGTACAGACAGTGTTTAAATGGACTGTCTTTTCTTTTGAGTGTAATGAATTTGACAAATATATGTATATATAATTATCTAGTTCTTCTTTATAAGGATGAAGGAAAATAAATGATTCTGATAAGCTCATATAAATCCTCACATTTTATCTCTCTGACACATGTTTATAAATCACGGAGCTACATGAATGCCTAAAATATGAAGTAGAAGAGCTATCTAGAGCTTTCCTCTTTTCCCAGCTTGTCTCAAGACAGAATTTCTCTAAATTAAGAACAAGAAATTGATCTCTACAGAGGACATATGGATAATAGTGACCTGAGGGCATGTAAAGCCTGCCCTATATTCAGATCACGACCTACATATAAAAAATCATCTATATCAGGATATACAAGGTTCTATATATTATTTACAAACCATTTCAAACATGAATGAACCTTGATAACATGAAAGCATTTCAGACCCTCACATAATAGTAGGAGCACATGAAAATGCATTATTTTTTAAAACTAGTATTGAGTTAGGAATATTCGAAAGGATTTTGTATTTTAACAATTACAACAGCATCAATGTATTTTTTTTTTAAAAAAGTAAGTATAGGTACGAGACATCATTCGGTCTACAGACAAAGCTTCATATACAACAATATCACAATCTTTTTCCATCCCTTTATTGTCCCCAACTCCACCCGTGACCCGCAACCCCAGGTCTCCACGTTAGAAACCCTGCTACAGGTGAGAGGTGCTAAAGGGCTGGAGGCAGAGTAGATGGAAATAACAATTAATCACTTTTTAGTCCAGGACTCACAAATGTTCTCTCTCGAAGAATGAAGAGTAGCATTTGATTACTCAATGGACTCCCGATTAAACACTAACGCTCAAAGGTGGTCAAAGACACACTGGGAAGCAGGTGGAGGGGGGGCAGGCAAAGAGTGGGAGAGAGAGAGATTTATTGAGATTGACTGATCGACCTTTGATGAAGTTATCCAGAATTATGCCAGCAGGAAATTTATAAAGAAGCCATTTTAATTTCCTTATATATTTAAGTTCTATAAGGCTCCTCAAAGTCTTAATCTGGGGTTGTTAAACGCACTCCGTAAACAAGCAAATATAACAAGGTGTCAAAATAGGACACCTGTCTCAAAACAAAGTGATGGCAAATACTACCATATTGCAAACCACATTGTAAAACCACTCCAACAGGGATACCAAAGGGGCGGCTGAAAATCCACTTGCTGCCCTTCACTGACCCCCAGCTCCAGCTGTCAGAAGAGATTGAAGAGCAGAGATGGTTTCTCAGAGAGAGGCGCTGGTCGGCTTGGAGTCCTGCTGCCCACCCACCCCAAGCCTGCCCTCACCTCCAGCCTAGCGAGGGGGGCTTCAGGGATATCTGAGTCCCTGGGAGCTGGGACACAACAGTCTGAGGTCTGACTACGCCTAAAGATTGAGAGGCAAGAGACTGGCTGAAGTGGACTGTGACAGCAGAGTCCAGGACTGCAACTGGGAAGAGACTGCACTGCCGACAGGCACATGGGGGCAACACTAGAGAGAGCCAGCCTGGGACTGTGTTCAGTGCTGCCCAGAGACCAGGATGAGGGTGTAATTACCACTGACCAGCTAGAGGACATGCATTTGGCTGCAGCAAGAGAACCTCAGGTCAGAGATTTCTGGTGACGGAAGCTCCCCCTAAAAAACCTCCAATGGGCCGACTGAGAAAGTCAGCTTTAAACACCTGACAAGCCCAATGATGGACACTACCATCAAAGAAGACTTTTCCTGCTCAGTTTCCTCTTCTCCCTCATTCCCACTGCACCCTGAGAGGGGCAGAAGCTCCAGGCAATGAGCAGGGGTGGAAGGAAGCTGGCAAGGTAAAGTGAGAAGCCGCTTCCCACACCTTCCCTCCAGGCCCCCTGCCCGGACAGGCCTGAGCTGTCGGAGACAAAGTGAACTTGAATTAACTTCAGCGTCCTCCTATTACACAGGATTGGCCATTTTAATGAGACTTGTGTGACTTAAAATGACTGGGGGGTGTTTCACTGTCTGAATATGAGAAAATCCTGGGACCCATCCTAATTTGACCAAAGGGACAGAGGAGAACGAACCCCACAGAGCAGGGGTAGGGGGTTACGTTTTCTGTTATACTTCAAGGTACCTGTTATAGTAGAATTTCAAACTTCCTATGACAAAAGCACAAGATTTGACCTATGTGAGTCTTCAAATAAAGAAATAGCTCAAATCTAAAATTTACTGAGACATATACATATAATGATTATCAGTTTTCTAAAACAAATCCAGCAAGATATTTTCATTTTAGAATATCTAAACGAATATATATTTCAGCATAAATACGTCTTATCATTATTACAATAGTAATATTTTAGAACAAGAAAGAACTAGTCTAGATTCTAATCCTATAGACAGGATGTCAGTGCCCACAAATAGCCTACATAAGGTGATAAAGCTACTCACTTGCAAAGCTAAACCACATGATTTTCAGTTCAATGTTATTTCTATCACTTTCTCAGAACTAAAAAGCAATCTCTACTGTAAAGATTTACAAATAAACTGAAGAATAAATTTTAAAATGAGAAATTATTATGAAAATGAGAGAAAAACCACATAGTGAAGCAAATCAAAAGTAACCAAATGCACAGAGGCACAAATGGGCATACTTACAGACAATGGTAAAAAGGGGGGTATTCGTTTCCATATTCTACTTCCAAAAGAATTAAAGTGGTTTGAGTAGTTGATTCAAGAAATACTGATCTGGATATGGCACAGAAATAGGGGAATGGAAGTGAAGGGTTACAAAGATGAGGAAAGAGACAGAGACTTGTTTTAGGATGGCTGATATTGGGGAGGGAAGGTGACACAAAAAGGTGACATACATGTTTTTAGAAAGAAATAGGCTTCCATTTCCAAGACAAGAGCCATGTGAAGCCTGGATCAGAATTTTAACTATAGGCAGAGAAGAAGATATAAAATTTGAAAAAAAAAATACTTGAACAAAGTTAGTAATAGCTTAATTATGAAGAAATAGATGATGAACTGAAATTATTCCCAGAAATATAACATTGAAATAGCAGTTCTCAAAAACCAATATATGAGTGTCATCATGGAAATGGTGAATTTAAAAAATGAAACTTTTTTTAAATTTAAAGGGCTGAAAGTGAGCCAAGAATCACAAAAATCCAGGTGTACATCCAGTTGTGTGGGAAACACTACTGAAAGGCTACTGAAAAGATAGCAAAGTTCTCGAAATACCACAGCAAGAGAAGTGCATCCCAGAATCAGGAAAAACAACGAAGGTGAAATGAAGCCATCAGGTAAGCCAATCTCAAGTGATTCATCATTTTAAGTCACAGAGCAAATAAAAACAAAAAACTACAACAAAGAAAAGCCTCACTGTTTTGCACGCTTGGGGGAAAAAGTGGATTGGGGACATCAGTGTGGTTGCGACTTGAATTTCAGAATTATGCGGTATTCAGAATTGGAAGAATCTTCTCTCTCTTTCTCTCTCTGTTTCTCTCTCTCACTCTCTCTTTCTTAACACATGAGGACACTGAGACCAACAGCAGAAACACAACTTGGCCACATCACACAATTTGTCATACTGGTGGTCTCCACACTTAGCCTCCAGAATCCTGCAACTATATCTTTCCTCACGATATTGTCATTCACCTTCATTTTTTAAGATTGAATGAATACTTACAATAGCCTTTGTCTATAGTACATGGAAAAATATAAGAGCTAGGCAGTAGGATTTTAAGATTAAACAGTCAAGATTTTGGGGTAAATGATATACAATATTAATCAAAAAAGTTTTCCCGTTGACCAGAAACATATCATAATTACAAAGCCAATTATACAGAAACTACATGGTTCTAGGGATAGAGAGTATTTCAATATACCCCATTTCAGATGAAGCAAAACCAGAAACTTATAAGGTTCTAACTAGAGGCTGGTAAAATATTTGTTCATTACAACATAGCAGTTATTTTGAATACTACTAACAGTACAAGCAACACTAGGAAGCAAAACAAAAAGATTAGAGGCAACAGCAAACATGCACTCATTTAGATCACAATTTCTTTGTAAATACATGGAAACACATACCCATTTTTCCACATCAACTTGCTGTGGAAAGAAAAAGCCAAAATAAATAACAAGCAAACAAATAAATAGCTAGCAACGTTTCAATTATTGTCATTTAAACAAATTGAAATGTGGTCCCTGCACCAACATCTATTCCCAGTTCTAAAGGATAAGAAACGGTATTCAAACTCTTAATTAACAACATTTAATCTCCTCAAACAAAGTAACAAAAAATCTCAATTAATTTAGTAATCAGAACTTCAAAAGATATTAGGCTGGAAATGCACCAGGTACATAAAATAACAATAATCCAATATATTCAAAAGCAAACATGAACATTTACCTAATTCTCAAACCTAATAGGCCTCCTGATTTAGGAACCACTATTCTCCTCGAACTATAAGAATCTGTTTAATGAAACAAGTCAATTTAGAAATACAGCCTCTAACTATAAATCTCTCATGAAATAAAAGTAAAATTTCCCTTATACCAATCTTTCTAGCATTATATAAAATTCCACAATATAACAAAAGGCATGCCTTGCCAAATAATTTTGAAATTATATCAGAATCAAATTATTTTTAAAATTGTACTTATTAAGGAATGTATGTTAGTCTCATAATCATGTGACTCTTTAAAAAATAAGTGAATATAATTTTATCCAAAGTGTAAAACAGAACAAATAAAAAAGCCATATGTCAACAAAGACTGCCTTCTACAATGCCCTAAGATTCCTAGCAAATCAATCAGAATGAAAAAATGTCAACACTGAGGGACATGCCCAGTCTCAAAGGTGAGTTTCCATATCCCACCTCCCTTCTATAGCAGATGTGACTGGTTTCCTGTGAGAACTGAGGTTGGTTCAGACTCTTCACACATTTAAGTTTTTTAAGTAATTTTTTTTCCTTAGAAAATTCATTAATCAGGTAAGAAGCTAATGCTATTTAGGTGGAAATCTTGGGCCATAGCTAAAAATCTCCATCCCCTAGTAAGCAAGCCTCAAGAAGGAAATGTGCATGAAATGAAACATACAGAGCTATTACTGTTAAAATGCTATATAGTGAGATAAAAATATCAACCTAAATGTACAGGTGGAATTGTTTTGAAGCTCTGGTGAAATTCACTAGGTTCAACAGGCTACTTATAACAGAGCATTTTGGCCACTGTATTAATTTATTTAGTCCTCAGAAAAATCTGTTCTAAGCCTACCCGCAACATTTGAATTTAAAAACACACAGTGGTTATTATAGAAAGAACACTTTACTGAATGGAGAGGCTTGGTTTTCACCATAAGTTTTTAAGATATTTAGCTGTTGTATAAAGTTCAAGTCCTCGTTTTAAACATTAACATATTTGAGTGATGAATCTGTTTCTTTAGATCCTGGGGTAAAAGGAAGCAATTTAGTCAAGTCCAGTAGAGTGTAGTTATCATTCACTTTTCTACCTCCAAAAAGACAAATTCTTATATTTATCCAAGAAAAATAATTCAAGGAAACGTGAAATGATTTCCTTCTCATATTTATCAGGAAAATAGGATACACCATCCTTTTAGTGATTTCAATTATTAGCAAAGACATATTATCCCATCACTTTTACTTCTAAACGTTAAATATTCACACACACACACACACACACCAGTGCAAAGATAAAGGATTGCGGGATTTTCCTAAAAGAAAGAGAACTTGTAATCAAGTTGTAGTTACTAGTATTAGTAATAGCAGCTCTTTAATGATCTATATTACAAAAGAGAAACAGTTTCTTAAGTAGCAAGAATTAGTAGCAATAATATAACAGATTCAATATCCAAATACCCAACGAAAGCTTAGCAGCAGCATGTCCTGGGGGTGAATTATCAACTAAACACGAAAGACAAGACAAATGGTCCACAGAATTTAAAAACTGACTAAAGTGCAATCAAGTTGTAATTATGCATAAGCAATGCAGAGTGATTTCATGACACATCTCTTATTAATGTTAAAAAGAATCATTTAATTAAATGCCTATAGTGAAGAGAATGATTTATATGGAGCTAATCAAGGAAGGGAATTATAAAGTTCACAATAACCTGACCAACTTTATAGTTTAAACAATTACCAAATCCATAAAGCATAGAAGACAAATGAATATTTATTGCAATAATTTATTATCCAAGTATGTGGTATTTTTTTAAAATATATTGATTCCATTAATTTAGAGAAAATAAATATTTTAACATCTTTAGGAAACTACATTAAATATTTTATCATATTAAGACCAAAAGAAGAGCAACCTCATTTTCCAAATAAAAACAAACTTCCCATTAAGGAAAACAAAATAGTCATTTAAACACCAAATTGATTTAGCAGAGAGGACATAAGTTAAGAATGCAATACAAAAGTAATTAATTCTAAATTATATCATATCATCATACGAAAGGTGAAACATTCACATAATATCACTATTTTTGTATTCCTATTTTAATTAATAAATTTAGGGCACATATACATGAACTATTCCAAAACCTTAAAAAAAAGTTTAGTTGTTTCTTCCAACATGTTTAACCTCATTTTACTGTTTAAGGTGAAGAATTTCATTATTATTAAATCTGTAGGTCACATACTAAGAAGTTACTATGTCCCAGGCTTTGAGCTCAACACTTTACATGTAATCTTATTGTCTGAATTTTACATATGAGGAAACAAATGACATATAAAAGTGTTAAGAATTTTTCACAACAAAAAAATGTCCGATAACCACTAAAAGATGGAGCTTGACCTCGAAATTGGGTCTCCAATTTCAAAGACCCACTCTCCTAAGCCATCTCTATGTATATCCAAGATACATCATCCTTTTTCTCTTTTGTTTCAAATTTTTAGTCCACATTTAATTTGGAATTGCTCAACAGCCTATTTCTTATGGTAAGTGCCAACTAACAGAATGTGTTAACATCAAGATAAGAGAATATAAAATGCACCTCGAGATCCTTATAACATCAAAGATGTTATTTAATTTCAGTTGTTCAAACAGCATGCCTGGTTTTTCGCATACATATATTCTAGATAATTACATCACAACAATAAAACATCCATCGTGAACATAAATTTTTTAATATCAAGGCATACACAAGAAAAGTAATTAAAATACGTAATGTATGCCTACAATCTATTACCTTGCTGTTAAATTTTTTTAAATAATAAATTAGAGAAAAATAAAAAGCAAAAACTACTCTACCCTATAAACAATTTTCCACTGCACATGTTTATTATTAAGATTAGGAGGAAAAAACTTGAAAAATTTGCACACTGTGTTCCAGGATTCAAAATATAATGAAGTCATTTAGATTTTTTTTCAGTAAAATTATGACTTGGATGGGCCACGTTTTTAATGAATAACAAATTCAGAAAAATATATAAACCATGAGTATACAGCTCGATAAAATTTTACTAAGTAAACAAATCCACGTAATCAGCACCCAGAGCTAAAAAGAGGACAGTCCCTATGACCCAGAGGCTGCCTTCATGCCCTTCCCAAAGGTAACCATTATTATGTTACCGTTAATTAGTTTTGCCTTTTTTGATTTTGGAAATATAGACTATGTTCTCTTTTTATCTAGCTTCTCTAGCTGACATTAGGTTTCTAAGATTCGTCATGTAGTAGTAATTAATTCATTTTCCCTGCTTTTATTATTCCATGGTATGAATAGATCACAATGTATTTACCCATTTAACAGTTGAACATTTAGCTTGTTTCCTGTTTGGAGTTATTACAAATAATTCTGTGTTGAACATTCTCGTACATATCTTTTGGTGAATACATGAATATATTTCCATTGGGTATAAACCAGGAGTGGAAATAGTCGTGGATTTATAAATATTTAGCTGTAGTAGATACTGCCAAAGAGGTTTCCAGAGTGGTGGTTTAAATTTATACTCTCATCAGCAAGGTATGAGTTTCACTTGCTTTCCATCTTACCAATACCGGGTATTATTAGTCTTTTTAATTTTAGCTCTTCGGGTGGGTGTGTAGTAGTACCTTATCACAGTTTTAATCTGCATTTCTCTGATACCTACTGAGATGAAGCACCTTTTCATATGCTTTTGGATATTTGAATATCCACTGCTGTGAAGTATTTCTTCAAGTCTTTTACTCATTTTTTTTTTCTATTAGGTTGTCAATCTTTTTTCTTCCTGCTTTGTCAGAATTGTTTATATTTTTCCAAGTATTCCACTCCCTAGTCTGTGTCTTATCTTTTCAGTCTCTTAATGGTAACCCTGATGACAGACATTCTTAATTGTAGTACAATTTATCAATCATTTCCTTCATGGCTGGTGTTTTTTGTCAAGAAAAGGTTCTCCTACATTATTTTCTAGAAAATTTGTATTTTACCTTTCACCTGAGAGCCACAACCTGTTTGGTATTGATTTTTTGGTGTATGGTAGTAGGGAGGGAAACAAGATTCATTTTTCCCCTCATATAGCCATCCAATTGACCTGGCACCATTTATAATGAGAAAATCCTTTCCCCGCCGCACTGCACTGCTACCTGCGTCATAAATCAAGTTACCAACGTGTGGATCTATTTATGAACTCTATTCTATCTGGCCTATTGTTCCATCTGTGTGCTAATAACAATACAATCTTAATCACTGTAACATCAAAATAAGTTTTGATATCTGGTAGCCAGAAGCCCCAACTTTATTTCTTCAATATTGTATTTACTAATACTGACCCTCTTCATTTCCCATAATGTTCAGAATTGCCTTTTAAATTTTCAGGCACACAAAAAACAGCACCTGCTGGGATTTTGATTGAGATTGCATTGATCTACAGATCACTGGAAAGAACTGCCATCTTTATAACATCCAGTCTTCAAATATGTGAACATTGTATATTTCTCCATTTTTCTTTTTAGGTCATCTTTAATTTCTTTCAAAATGTTTTTCAATTTTCTATGTAAAGGCTTGTCATCTTTCATTAGAATTATTGCTATGTATGTGATGTTTTATTATACTAATATAAGTGGACTCATTTAGAAATTTTTATTTTGTAATTGCTGTTTGCCAG